AAAAAAAAAAAAAAAAAAAAAAAAAAAAAAAAAAAAAAAAAAAAGGGGCTCACTGGATAGCCCAATGGAAATCTGAGGTGGGAAACGAATTCCCCACCATGGAGAAGAAGAGCATAAGGAGGAGGAGGACCAGAAGAATGAGGAGCAAAAAAGAAAGAAAAGGAAGTGGAAGAGACAGTCAAAGAGGAAAGGAAGAAGGTGGAAGGAGTAAAAGGGGAAGAGAAAAATAAAAAATAAGGCAAAGGGACGGAAAGGAGTTGGAGCCAGGAGAAGGAGAAGAACAACAACAATTGAAGAAGAAGAAGAAGAAGTGGAGGAGGAGATGGGGAAAAAGAAAGAGGGAAGCAACAAAGGGCATTGTTGGTGTCCATGTAAAACCGTTGCACGGGGAGATGGAACCGGTCCTGCCCTTGACTTATGTGCCTGAACCCGTGGACACATAACTTCAGAGCACTCGATCCCTCCTTGGTTAGATAAAACTTGATGAACAGCAGCTGGAGGAGGCATTGACTCAAGCGAAAGCCCACAAGGACAAGGCTTCATCACATACATAGCAGTTGGCAAAGGGAAAGGAGGAGGGAGACAAGTTGAGGGAAGTTTCGAAGGAGAAGAAGATTCTAGAAGAGTCCAAGGGGATTGTTGCAGCTGCCCTAAGGGGAACTGATGATGTAGTGGCCGCAGTGACGCAGATAAGGGAGCTACAAAACTGGCACCACACAGTCAACGCCAGTTTCGAGCAAGAGATGGAGGGAATTGCCCTCATCTTTGCCGAATGGATAGTAGAGTTGACTGTAGGATTCAAGGAGAGACTGGAAGCACATACGAAGAGGTTGGAGAATGAGATAGAGGAGGAGATAAGGAAGGTGATGAGGAAAGTAGGGGGAGGAGATGGTGGTGGAGATGGAAATGGCAATGGCCATGGAGAGAGAGAGAGAGAGAGAGAGAGAGAGAGAGAGAGAGAGAGAGGAAAGATGATCGACAGCCAACCCCTTACGAGCAGCGGGTTAGGATGAGATTACCTTACTCTTACTTCGGCAAGAAAGAAGAAGACTTGGCTATGTTGTCGGAACCTTTGGTTTTCGAATCGGGTCCCGACCCTTGAGACAGGTTATATGACAAGGATGTGTATGGCAGAGGAATCCTGAAGAAGGAGACAAGAGAAGGAAAAGGCCATAGACAGATGACTAAGATGGGACTACCGGTGCCCAGAGTTCCAAGACGGGACTCGAACCGCCGGGACCAAGAGCCTAAGATGGAACCCAAGATCAGTAGGATGCAGAGACGAAAGAGGAAAGGGCTGCAAGGCCACAAGAACGTGGATTGGACTAAGGAAAAGGGCCAACAAACATAGTAAGAGATAAGTTCAGATGATGTCGGGAAAGAACCGGGAAATACGGTATTTTCCATGATTACAAGCAACAAGGAAAGGATGGGCAAACGGAGACGGAACGACGTCGTTCCAAGCCTGGAATACACAGAACGTTGGTGCCCACGACATATTAAAAATACAAATGTCACATGAATCAGAGGGGTAAGAAATTAATTTTTGAATAGAGTGGGTGCTGTCTAGAGCCTGTGGACGCGCCAAGCAGCAAGGATGCTGCCGACGGTCGCACGACACATGAGAAATACTCTGTGGAGATGTGACTATCAACGTGCTGCAGGAAATTAGTAAAGGCGGCCCTCCCTCTTGAAGAAGGAGGACCGCCAGAAAATTAATACACAAAGAATAGTGCCACGGGAAATTGGGCCCGATGACACCAAGGAAATAGTGCCTTGGTGCCATCACAGAAGGCGCCAACGTGCGGCCTTGGGGGCTACCCAAATACGGCATTAGAAAAGCCTAAGGGCAATGGAACCAAGTAGGGGGGGTGTAAGTGGACCAATAGGCACCAGCTGGACATGTGCCCAAGCTCAAGGAACCTGAGAAATGGTGCCTTGGTGCCATCACAGAAGGCGCCAACGTGCGGCCTAGGGGGCTACCCAAATACGGCATGAGAAAACCCTAAGGGCTATGAAACCAAGCAGGGGGGGTGTAAGCGGACTAATAGGCACCAGCTGGACATGTGCCCAAGCTCAAGGAACTTGAGAAATGGTGGCCCCTTGAATGCCAAAATGAAAGGGGCTAGAAAAGAAGAGAGAGAGTTTCAATTTCGAGGCTTCTAGGCCTTGAAACTGAGAAGGCACCTTAGAGGGATGCAACGGATCACAAGGGCCTTAGTTTTGGAGCAAGCTGGTACACAAAACCTGAAAAATGAGGTTCTAGTGTGATCCAGAATAAACAGTCGGCAAAGGTAAGGAGAAAAAGGCCTAGAGGAAGAATGGGAGAGGTAGGAAAGTGTGGGAGTGGAAAAAGGGCAAGCCACAACATCATGGTCAACTTGCCCCTTCACAAAGGAGGTCTAGGTGCCTTGAACAGGACTGCATCAAGTCTAGATGCAGTTGGGACAAAAAAAATTCAAAAACGGACACTTGGAGGCCAAGGAAAACACATGTTTTAGGTACATCTTGTGACTAAATTCACCCGGGGGTGAATCGGGCACAAAGGTTGGGGAAAGGGGGGTTCAAATGCGATGAACCCACAACTAAAGGTCCTAGAAGCTGGCAGCTCACAAACGGACGAATACGGACACCTAGGGCCTATGTGTCCGAACAACGGGCAACGGGGCCGATAAATTCCGTTGAACCCCATTGAATCGCCTAGGGGCCCCGTTGAATCCCGTTTAACAGAAAAACGGGGGTCGCCCGTTGAATCCGAAAAACGGGATGGGCGCGTTGGGCCTCGGACACGTGGCTCTACACGCCCAAACACTAAAAACAGGAAAAAAAAAAAAAATGACCCCTATTAACAGGGTGGGGTGGCCAAATATGCCCCTCCCTCCCGAAAATCAAACTGCAAGAGGGAAAAAAGTTGGGGCCACCCCATACCCCAACACTGTGAGCACATGTGTGTGCATGCAGGTGCATGTACTTTTTTTTTTTTTTTACAAATGCTCCAATCTATTTGTCCAGTCTCATTTCCGAAGGGCCTCTACGGATTAACAAGGACCCCTCGTGGAGCAGAGATGGACATTAGACTCGTAGACTTCCTGTGTGGGCTGATAATATATAGTCTGGATTTGAATTCAGGTCTGTGGCACTCTGTGCATCACAATTATGGGTCACTAATTCTCTGTTTTCTCGTTTTTCTTTTGTTTCTCGTTTTTCTTTGGTTTTCTCGTTTTTCTTTTGTTTTCTCATTTTTCATTTGTTTTTTCTCGTTTTTCTTTTCTAAGGAATATGTGCAGTGGCCCTAGGGCCTCTACTCACCACGTGCACAAAAGACAAAACATATGGCAGTGTATTACTCCACGTTTTAGCAGAAGATTCATTCCAATTCTGCACATTTGCAGTGGCCCTAGGGGCCTCTACTCACCACATCCACAAAAGACAAAACATATGGCGGCGTATTATTCCACGTTCTAGCAGAACATCCTCTTTTTTTTTTTTTTTTTT